GAGCCAGAGATGATGATGTGGAGCTATGGAGCAGCTGGAGACTCTAGACCCAGAGAGGGAGCGTGACTGTGTGCTGAAGACCTGGGGGGCACGGGAAGGATTGCATGGAGGGGATTGTAACCATGGCAATGAGACGATATATGATAGAATGAATGTAAAACTAATGTTCTCCCATGTATACTATCACATAACTCACAATAAATCATTTAAGAAAAAAATTTTTTTTATCCCAATGCCCAGCCCTTTGTGGGAGGAGGAAGAGGCTGGCTGCTCCTGTAAATATTTTACTGTCTCAGAAAACTAAGAAGCAGTTCTACTATGTCCCGTAGGGTTCCTATGAATTGGAATCCACTCGATGGCAGTATATAGGGCTGTGAGTTAAAAAATCTTTTGGCTCATGGGGTTCTTTCCAAGAAAGTTGCACATCTTGTTAAGTGCTGTCGAGTCGGTTCCCACTCAAAGCGACCCTGTATAGGGCATGCGAGAGCCGCTGGTGGGTTTGAAGGCCGACTTTAAGGTTAGCAGTTAAGTGCTTATCCTGCAGCGCCACACCACTCCCTATATACTAAAATGTATGCCTACAGTTCCAGGCATGCTTGGACCGTGGTTCAACCCAGCAGCCGCTTCATGCCTCGAGTCTCGAGCCCGGGGCTTCCAAGAGTAAGAGCAGGGCCTATCTGGGACTGGGGCCGGCGGTGGAGGAACCAGATGCTCCAACTTGCCAGCCTTAAGAGGAGTCGGACTTTTCAGCGTCGCAAGTGGGCCACAGGCAACCTGATTCGGGAGGTCCTGTTTACTCCCCGTGGTCTAGCTCACTGCTCTGTGTCCTATGGACGCCCTAGGAACCTTGTCTGAGTACCACGAAGCCATAAGCCCCACGCCCCCGGTGCTCCCCGGGCCTCACGCCCGCAGCTTGTTTACTTCCCGGCGCAGCCTAGTCTGACCCCCGGGGGCCCGCCCTCGCCTGCCGCCTATTGGCGGAGGAGGCATTAAAGCTGGCGACGATTGGCCCCGGGAAGGCGGAGACGCGGGGCGAGCGGGATAGGCTGCGCGAGAGGCCGAGAGGGGGCAGCAGGCGATGGCGGCGGCTGCGGGTCGGCTAGGCTGGTTGCTCGCCGCGTTCTGTCTGGGCAACGCCGCTGGGGAAGCAACGGCGGGCCCGCAGGTGCTGGGCTTCTGCTTGGAGAAGGACGGAGCCGAGGGTGCGGGCTGGACGCGTGAAACGGCCACCTTCCGCCTGCGTCTCTTTGGTTCGGGCTTTACCAACAGCTCCTGGTCCTGGGTTGTCCCCGAAGTTACTGGCTGCCCTAAGGGCTGGCCAGCCGCGACGTCCGATATGGTAGTGGCCCCCACTGCTGGCGCGGGTGAGTGGCGTGCGCTGCTGCGCCTGCGCGCCGAGACCATGCGCCCGCACTCGTCTTTGCTGGCGGTGCGCTTGGAGCCGGGCGGTGAGGCTGCGGAGGAGGCGGCGCCGCCCTGGGCTCTGGGCCTGGGGGCGGCCGGGCTGTTGGCGCTGGCGGCGCTGGCGCGGGGCCTGCAGCTGAGCGCGCTGGCATTGGCTCCAGCCGAGGTGCAGGTGCTGCGCGAGAGCGGCTCGGAGGCGGAGCGTGCGGCTGCGGGGCGCCTGGAGCCTGCGCGGCGATGGGCCGGCTTCGCCCTGGGCGCGCTTCTGCTACTGGCCAGCCTGGCGCAGGCGGCGCTGGCGGTGCTACTGTACAGAGCGGCCGGCCAGCGTGTCGTGCCCGCAGTGCTGGGTAGCGCGGGGCTTGTGTTCCTGGTGGGCGAAGTGGTGCCGGCCGCCGTGAGCGGGCGCTGGGCGCTGGCGCTGGCGCCATGCGCGCTCAGCCTCAGCCGCCTGGCGGTGCTACTCACCCTGCCAGTGGCACTGCCCGTGGGTCAGTTGCTGGAGCTGGCGGCTCGGCCCGGGCGGCTGCGCGAGCGCGTACTGGAGCTGGCACGCAATGGCGGCGACCCCTACAGCGATCTCAGCAAGGGTGTGCTGCGCTGCCGGACGGTGGAGGACGTGCTCACACCGCTCAAAGACTGTTTCATGCTGGACACCAGCGCTGTGCTGGACTTCGGCGTCCTGGCCAGCATCATGCAGAGTGGCCACACGCGCATCCCGGTGTATGAAGAGGAGCGCTCTAACATCGTGGACATGCTCTACCTCAAGGACTTGGCCTTCGTGGACCCCGAAGACTGCACGCCGCTCAGCACCATCACCCGATTCTACAACCACCCACTCCACTTCGTCTTCAACGACACTAAGCTGGACGCTGTGCTGGAGGAGTTCAAGCGAGGTAAACTGCTGGACATTTGGGGAGGGGATTCGAATGCCAGTGCTTTCAGCTGGAAATGGCGTGGTTTTATAGAATCCTCCAAGAAAGAGTACCCCCCAGCAGAGGGCAGTGAGTTCTCCAGGCCCCTTGTAAAGAAGATGATAAATAACCTTTTAGGGAAGTATGCCTACCTGACTGTAGCCCCTCAGCTCTTTCCTTCTCCCAGGCCATTTCTGTGAGCTTGGAATGAATGAAGACTAGAATGTAGTTTCCAAGCATCTAGACTCCGGTACCTGTACGCACATATTCGCTTGCTGCCTTTCTAAGTCCAGAAAAGGGGATAACTTGTAAATGGTTTTCTAGAGATACGAAAACAACCTTTATTTTGATATCATCAAAAGTAACTAAATAAGTAATGATTTAATCTGCCCCCCCCCTTTTATTTGGAGGGAGAAGAGGGGAGAAAGCTTTCTTTTCTAATCAGAAGTGAGTTCTCAAGTTCTTCCTTGTTGTTGTTAAGTGCCGTGGAGTCGGTTCTGACTCATAGTGACCCTGCACAGGGTTTCCGAGGCTGTAAATCTTTATGGGAGCAGAACGCCTCATCTTTCTCCCTTGGAACCGCTGGTAGTTTCGAACTGCTGACCTTGCGGTTCACAGCCCAATTCGTAACCACTACCCTACCAGAGTTCCTTAATTCCACATTTTTATCTGAGCAACTCTTAAGGCTGAAGGTCAAAGCTGAGAAGGTCAAATGTGAAAATGTGGGTTCCCTTGCCATCCTCCCCATTGTCAGACATGAGGGTGCTCCCCAAAGCTTGGTGCTGTCCACTAGCCTGCTTCTCACATTGGAACTCCCACAGGATGGAGGCACCCCAGAACTCTAGGTGGGCTTAACCCTAAGGGCCACTGCAGGTGATGGAGTGAGCAAAGCCCTCTAATATTTCTGAAAGCTGTGAAGTCTTATGCTCTGCCGCCCCCTGAGGCTGAGTACCTGACATCCAGATCAGAAGAACTTTGTGGTCATAGCATGGCTATTGCATTGGACACTGCTAGGCAGTCCTGGTGTGGCACTGTGGGATAAGCACTGGACCGCAAGGTCGGTTTGAACTGCAAGGTCAGTAGTTCAAATTTACCAGCCACTCCTTGGAAACCCTATACAGGGTCACTATGAGTCAGAATCGACTCAACAGCACTTAACGACAACCACCCTTGCTTCCTTTGTAACTCCAGATGGGATTATTTAAGGACATTCAGCCAAATGAGATATAAAAGTGGGTGACCCTTTTAAAGTCTTTGCCTATAACCAGCTAAATTCTGGTTGACTGACTATCAGAAGCCCAAGGATTCCAATAGAGCTGAAGAGAGACCTTTCAGACAGTTGTGCATACCATCGCCTGTAACTTTTCTCGTAGACCTATTCAGACAAAGAAGGGCAGGGGACGGGAAGTCCCAGCTGCAGACTGGCCATTTTGGGAATTAGGCATTGTGGAAAAGGGTCTGCCTCTTGAATGTGCTGACTGAACACTCGTAGTGCTTTTACAAAGCTTTTGGGTTGAAGTTGGCAAGATGTGCTGCCTGTATCTTGCCTGTGGCTCCACAAAGCTTGTTCAGTGATGCCTGTGCTGGCCACAGCGGGGCTGCAGCATTTCAGTGTTTTATCTTGCCAGGTAAGCAGTAAGGTTCAGTTCCTCCAACCGCCCTTTCTTTGTTTTTATGTATTGCTTTCTGACTATACAAACATTCTGTCTTGCAAACGTATCACATGACCGTTGGTTTAAGAAGGAGCCCTGGTGGCACAATGATTAAGTGCTCAGCTACTAACTAAAAGGTTGTCATTTCAAACTCACCAGTTCCTCCACGAGAAAAGACCTGGTGATCTACTGCCGAAAGGATTACAACCTAGGAAACCCTGTGGGACATTGCTGCTCTGTTGTATGGGGAGGAGTCACTGTGAGTCAGAATGAAGTCATGGTGTGGTGCTGTCGGATAAGTATCTCACTGCTTACTGCGAGGTCGGTGCTTCAAACCCACCTGTTGCTCCTCGGAAATCTATACAGGATTGCTGTGAGTCAAGACCAACTCAGCAGTGCTTAACAATAGCAGAGCTGACTTGGCAGCTCACAAACAAAACAACTGCTTTAAGAGGTCTTCCATAGGTTTCTTTCTTCATTGTTGAATTATCCAGTGGTGGTGGTAATTTGCTGTTGAATTGGTTCGTACTCATAGCGACCCTATGCAGAGTTTCCAAGGCTGTGAATCTTTTCAGGAGAAGAAAGCTTCATCTTTCTCCCACAGAGTGACTAGTAAATTTGAACAGCTGACCTTGTGGTTAGCAAGCCGGCTCGTAACCTGCTGCGCCACCAGGGTTCCTTTGTTCTTTCTGTTTTATAAGTTTTGAAAAATCAAGGGAGAGAAGCCCATTCATTCCCTTCGGTAATGCCAGAGGGATTGGCTTCCTGCAGGAAGTGAGCTGTGATGGATTCTCTCTGCTTTGAGCCTGCTAGAACCTGGACTTGGGCTCACAAAGCCCAAAGAGACTGTTGTCCAGACTGTGGTTCAAGTCTTTGGCCTTCTTAATCTGGCCTGAAAGGTCAGTGCCATAGGGCAGGGCTGCCATGGCCTTGTGGAGGTAGAAATCCCCTCCTCATCCAGGGATGGGGGGACAGTTTTCCAGGGACCCAGGCCCTTTCTTCCTAGAAAGGGGGAGCAACTGCTTCTGGTGGCCATTTCTACCTTTCATTCTTGTCCAGGTATGTAGAGCATCCTGGGGAACGGTGCTTCAGGGAGTAATTTGGCATTTGTTAAGTCCCCAGAGAAGTATCTTCTAAGATTCTGTTCTTTGTTCTTTCCTGTGAGTCAGCTGAGCTGGTGGTTAAGAGAATGGGCTCTGGAGCAAACTGCCTGAGTTGTTCTTGCGTTTGGGCAGGTTACTTACCCTCTCTGGGCCTCAACTACAAAATAGGATATAATGTTATATGCCTCAGAGTTGTTGTGACGATTCACTAAGGTAGTAAATGAATAAATCAGTTGGTGCCTGACACATAGTAAGTGCTGAATACTACATTTCTTCACTTCGGAGATACATATTTTTTTCACATTTTAGTACCTCGGATATCAGACTGCATCCCACAACTGATGGCATATTAGATTTGTTGAAATATGGTAACTGCCATCTCTCTATTTTTTTACAACCTCATTTCTTTCCTGAGTTTCCAGTTAGTGGTCAAGTAATAATAGGTTTTCCTTGATACTACATTTTTATTTTATACATCTTTGGCACAAGGGTCTTCCTATGCCTCATTACCTCAGTAAGAGAGCACATGGGTGAAAAAATGAGGTACAGCATGCTGAATAGACCTTGCTCCTCGGAAATCTATCTTACCAAATTAAACCCCCATTATGTGTCTGTGCCACCACTTGTCTGTCAGTTTGTCACACTGTGGTGGCTTGTGAGTTGCTGTGATTCTGAAAGCTATGCCACTGGTATTTTAAATTACCAGCAGGGTCACCCATGGTGGAAAGTTTTCAGATGAGCTTCCAGACAAAGACAGACTAGGAAGAAAGAGTGACAAACTACTTCTGAATCTTTAGTCACTGAAAACCTTATGAATAGCAGAGAAACACTGTCAGATATAGTGCCGGAAAATGAGCCCCTCAGGTTGGAAGGCATTCAAAATGTGACTGGGAAAGAGCTGCCTCCTTAAAGTAGAGTTGACCATGATGACACAAATGGAGTAAAGCCTGTGGAACCTTCATTTGCTGATGGGGCACAACTCAAAATGAAGAGAAACAGCTGTAAACATCCATTGAAAATTGGAACATGAAATGTACGAGGTGTGAATCTAGGAAAATTGGAAGTTGTCAAAAATGAAATGGAATGCATAAACATCGGTATCTTAGGCCTTAGTGAGCTGAAATGGACTGGTATTGGCCACTTTGAATCTGACAACCACATGTTTTACTATGCCAGGAATGACAAATTGAAGAGGAATGGTGTTTCATTCATTGTCAAAAAGAACATATCCAGATCAGTCATGAGGTACAGTGCTGTCTGTGACAGAATAATATCCATGGGCCTACAGGGATGCCCAGTTAATATCACTGTTATTCAAATTTATGCACCAACCACTAAAGCCAGTGAGGATGAACTAGAAGAATTCTACCAACTTCTTCAATGTGAAATTGATCAAACATGCAATGAAGATGCATTGACCATTACCGGTGACTGGAATGCAAAGGCTGGGAACAAAGAGGAAGGATCAGTATTTGGAAAATAACACCTTGATGATAGAAATGATGCTGGAAGTTGCGTGATAGAATTCTGCAAAACCAATGATTTGTTCATTACAGATACCTTTTTTAGACAGCGTAAGAGATAACTATACACATGGACCTCACCAGATAGAATACATAGAAATCAAATTGACTACATCTGTGGAAAGAGATGATGGAAAAGCTCCATATCATCAGAAAAAAAAAAACAAGACCAGGGGCAGACTGTGGAACAGACCATCAATTACTCATATGCAAATTCAAACTGAAGTTGAAGAAAATGAAAACAAGTCCACGACAGCCAAAATATGACCTTGAATCTATTCCACCTGAATTTAGAGGTCATCGAATAACAGATTTGATACGTTAAACACTAAAGAACGAAGACCAGAATAGTTGTGGGATGACATCAAGAACATCATACA